GGCTTTGCTTTGAGGCCGCAGAACACAGCGAGAAAGGAGCCCAGTGCTGGCACCCCCGGGCCCCCTGCGCTGTTGCTCTCCCGCTCCGTCGAGGGTGGGCTGCTTTACTTCCTCCGAAGCAAATGGGATCTATGTTTTCCCCAATGAATGGCTTTTAAGGTGCCCGCTTCTCGTCCTTGCTGTTGGCACACAGTTACAGAAGCATGTGGCTGCTGGCTGGGTGATGCTACCGGTCCCTTGGCTGGGCTCAGCGAGAAATACCCACGCTGATCCCCTTTGTGTCCCTTTTCTAGAGGACCTGCGACAACGTGGCTTGCATGAGTGGCTGGCGTCGCTGTCTTTCGATAACCCCGATTGTCCTGACCTGCAGCTGACCATGGGTGCAGTAATTGTGGAAGAAATTAGGGTGGCTGTAGAAGCAGCCACCGGATTCAGGTGTTCAGCTGGGATTTCACACAACAAGGTATGTGTGTAACGCATCAGCCTGATTTCTTCTGAGTAGCAGAGTCAGAATGTGCTGTAGACACTCTCCTACGCACTCTTCCAAGTCTCCCATAGAAGATGATCTGAGTGGGGAATGCAGCCATGTGTGAGCACACCTTCAGGGAAATTATAGGACATCTGGGAAGGGGAGGAGTCTTTTCCCAGAGAGGTAGCCTATGCGATCAGCACTCAATTTACTGCCTGGATTCCTGGTGTACCTTACTGAGTTAGCTTACTAGGAAGAAAAGGGTTTTAAGTCCCCCAGGAGAGTTTTCTTCAGGAAAAAACATGAGCTTGAAGCAGGTAACCTCCACCTTCAGTTTTAGGCAACAGTGGCTGTAGCCAGGGAATGGTTTGAACTGACCCGGTGACTTGGAGGAAGAAGAATACCCGTTTGGGGCACTGAGGCAACTCAGCTTGCTCTTCCTCTTTCTGGTCAATCGGTCTTTACCCCTGCTGGCCACGCTTTGGGCGATGCTCAGCCAGCCGCTGAGAGCAGCCACAGCAGCACTTCGTGCATGACAGCAGCTGCAGAAATAAACAGACTTTGATGCTGCAGCTCTAGAGGGTTTCCTGCTGGGTGAAATGCAGGGTGGTTTACTGAGAGCACCTAGCACTCATTTCATTCTTTGCAGAAAAGGTTTGTACCTACAGAGGTGAGCTGGCTGTGGAAGCACTGTTGCGTGTTCTGCGCAGGCACATGTAGGCTCTGGTAATCTCTGTATTGTGCTTGCTGGTATAGATATACAGTTCTTCAGGGATAGCACAGTACAGCATAATTTCCTTACTCCCTCTTAAAAAGAAATAAAAATGCTGGCATAGAAAATGGAAGCTGGGAGAAGCTGCTAGGGATAGCAGGGATGTTCTCTGTTATTCTTGTTTGAAGAGAGCAAAAAGGCATATTGAACATCTTTTCCACTGGAAATTTCTACACCGGTGATCTTCCTCGGCTGGCTCATTTCTGCCTCACAGCCTGCTCCAGTTTCAAGGTGAGCCAGTGCAGAACTAGCTCCAATACCTGTGGACAGCTGATAATAGTTCCAGTTGTTTCTGCAGCAGTCAAAGATGAAATTTATCTTCCTCAAGTTCCAAAGCATCCATTTAGTCTTTATCCTTTATCCTTTTATTTTTTGAGTCAGAGCCTGTGTTTTTAAAGCCATAACTGTACAGATAAGCCCCTTTTACAAAGAATGAAGCAAGTGCTAGGTGCTCTCAGTAAACCACCCTGCATTTCACCCAGCAGGAAACCCTCTAGAGCTGCAGCATCAAAGTCCGTTTGTTTCTGCAGCTGCTGTCATGCACGAAGTGCTGCTGCGGCTGCTCTCAGCGGCTGGCTGAGCATCGCCCAAAGCGTGGCCAGCAGGGGTAAAGACCGATTGACCAGAAAGAGGAAGAGCAAGCTGAGTTGCCTCAGTGCCCCAAACGGGTATTCTTCTTCCTCCAAGTCGCTGGGAATTTGGGTCAGTGCAAACCATTCCCTGGCTACAGCCACTGTTGCCTAAAACTGAAGGTGGAGGTTACCTGCTTTAAGCTCATGTTTTTTCTAAAGAAAATTCTTGAGGGACCTTTTTTCTTCCTAGTGAGCTAACTCAGTAGAGTACACCAGGAACCCAGCTGTTAAGAGACCAAATAATTGAATGAGTTATTTGGAAGCACCTGGAGGGATAACAACATGGTTTTATCAAGAACCACTTGTGCCAAATGCCTTTCTGTGCCCTCTTTGACGGCATAAGTGACCTAATGTACAGAGGAGACTGTGGATGTGAGATGTTGACCTTAAGGTTTCTCACTCACCTCACCCTGAGTCGCATAAGCTGATGATGACACCCTAGCAAAACACAACATGACTGAGGTTATCTGAAGGGCACGCATCTAGCTGAAGAAAATCTTATTATTTTTCCATAATGATTTTGTTCAGTGAGTTGCACTCAAATAGGGATGCTTAGAGTGGGATCCTGGGGGGATCTGTCTGAGGTTTGCTAAGAGCCAATGTTTTCTCTAAAGCCTATAGAGAGGGAACAGCTGTAGGAATTCAGGTGATGCTAAGCACAGATGGGGCTCAGGGTCTGGGCTGTGGGAGTTCTGGGAGATGAAATTAGAGCTGAAAATTCTGGGCTTGGAAAGCCCAGAAAGAGTCTGAAATCACCAAGCAGTGCTGCTTATGCTCCTCTTGCTCCTCACGGACTCTTTTTGTGGTTTATAGGAAAAAAACAACCAGCAGGCTTTTGGCTAAGTTGCAGTAAGTCAGGAAGTAGCCTGGAGTTATTGTGGACAAGCAGCAGGATGAGTCAGTAATATGAGTGCTCTTGTAGAAATGGCAAATCCTGTTTCAGCGTGTGCAGATTAGAGAAGGTGTCAGAAAAAGTAAATTATTTCTCCCCGTGAAGTCTCAGTGATTGGTTCAGCTGTGGCAGCACTTCACTTTATGAACAGTGTGCGTAAACTTGGAAGAGTCTCCAGTGAAACAAGAGTAACAATAATTGGACATCTGGAAAATGACTGGATATGAAAAGTTGAAGGAAAGGCATCTACTTTGTCTAGAAAAGAGTGAGAATGTACGTAAGCCTGTAAAACAGGCTGTTAATAAAGATCATAGCTCAATGGGCAGGAAAGAAATTTTGCTTGGTTATAGGATGTGTGGTAAAGCACTGAAAGAGGAAGTTATCAGACTTGTTCAAAAAAACCCCAAATACCCTGCTAAGCGTATTTCAAGCTGGTCCTGTGTATTGATCCTGTGGTAGATGAGAGTGGGAGAGGAAGCTGTATAGCAGATAGGCTAGAGAACATCCCTTCCAGGCTAGCAATTCTGTATCTTGCAGATTTCCTTTTGCAGCATTCTGCTGCTGTGGACCTCGCAGAGGGAAGGTTAAAATAGTGACATTGAGAAAAAGCGAGACAAACACAGACGATGAAGGAGCAAGACATAGTGAGAGAGAGAGCCCGGGGGGATTATGGGGATGCTCTGGAAGCTCTAGCATGTTTGCCTGATGGAAATCTAAGCCAAGCAGAACAGGTGATAGACCCAGATCCCCTAAGCTGCCTGGAGCAGGACTCCAGGCCTTTGCAGAGCTGGAAGTCTGGAAACAGCAGTGCTTTCAGAGTACCCAGCCAGTGCCTGCCGAGTCCCAAGGTGGGTACTACCTGGGAGCAAGCAACGGTGCAACCTACACGTACTTCCTAGCAGCTATTCCAAAGAGAGCTCTTAGAGGCAATACAGCACAAGCTGTTAGGTAGAGCCACAGTAAAGTCAGTGCAAAGTTTTTAATAACAGGGTTTCCACTCTCTTCTGTGTTACAGACACTGGCAAAACTGGCCTGTGGGTTAAACAAGCCCAACCGCCAGACGCTAGTATCTTCGCGATTTGTCCCACAGCTCTTCAGCCAACTGCCCGTCGGCAATATGTAAGTACTGGGGAGCTGCCTGCTTTTGTGCAGCTTGGGGCTCAAGCTGAGCTGCTCTGTGGCAAGAGCATGTATTTGAAATGCTAGTGCTGTGATTCCACAATCCAGGCTTTTATCAGGAAGAGAGCCCTGTTTGTCTTCATTGTCGTGGTACTTGCTCCTGTTGGTTTGTCATCATTGCTTGTGTGAGCAGAACTAAAGTGACTTGGAGGTAGGAAACTGTTCCTGGCCACCTCAACAGAGAGCAATTTGATGGCAATTGATAGCAGCCAGTAAAGGCTTTCAACTCCACAGTAACTGCTTATCGATGCTTGTAAGAAATGGAGAGGAAATCCTGCCAGTAAGCCCTCAGAGCTGTGAGTGACGGTTCACGAGGAGCATGCTTGGGAGCTGCAGCCCTGCCAGTGAAGGGACCGCACTCGAAGAGCCCAGTTAGCATCCTGTGGGCAGCCTCTCCCTGGGTAGGGCTGTGTTCAGGATGACTGCTGGGGTGCATAGGTGTAAGCCAGGAGCAAGTGTGGGCAAGGAGGCCATAGCTGTGCCCCAGTGTGACAGAGCTGTGCTCCCAGAGAGCACATGTGGTTTGGTGTTCAGCATTCATACTGCACACCAGTACTCTTCCTGGTGTAGGATCCAGAAGAATGAATCCCTGGTCCTGCTCTCCAGACCTGCACTGCTGCTCTCTGCCTTCAGTGTCTCACTAGGGATGGAGGGGGGTGCATGTGGGGAAGGGTCCTGTCTGTGTAGGAGGAAGCAGGGAGTGTGTGAGGCTTTCCTCAGAGCGTGGTTTGGGATCACATTTTGAAGATGGAGCTGAGGGAGAAGCACTGAAACCAGGTGAGCCAAGGGGCAGTTCCCACTTCAACTCCTATGTGTCTTCCTACTACGAGCAGAAGAGCTGTTATGTACCAAGTGTTCCCTTTTGTCCTGCTAGTTCCTGACTGCTTCTAGCTGTCCTGATCTAGGGACAGCTGCTGCAAGAAGACTTGGTGTAGTCTCCTCATGGTGCTTCATTTGCGTTTTCTCTTTTTCTTTCTTTCTCTGCCATAGCCGTAACCTGGGAGGCAAGCTTGGCACTGCCATCACAGACATCCTGGGAGTAGAGTACATCGGGGAGCTGACACAGTTCAGTGAGACACAGCTCCAGACTCACTTTGGAGACAAAACTGGGTAATGATAAACCACTCACCACAACTTGGCTCTTGGCAGGAACTGAGACTTCCTTTCGGTCACAGGTTGTTCTGCTGTGATTAGGCAGGTTTGAAGAAGTATTGGTCTGGCAGGCCCACAAGCAGGTTTCCAGTCTCACCTGCTGCCAGGCACCCTCCCTGGGATAACGTTTTGCCTGTCAGGCAGCTCCTCTCCCTTCCTCTACAGTGTCTAAGGATGGGGCCAAGCTGTGGAAGGGCTCCTTGCAGGCTGGGAAGCAGGCAGGCTTGACAGTCTCATTACAGAGGAAATTACAAGGCTGGACTGGAGCCTGAAACACCACTTCTGGGCCCAGAGCAGTGGTTGGGGTGCCCTGCAGACTGGTGAACCGTTGCCGCTTCAGAAGAGGCAGAGGAGTTGCACTGACAGGCAGTTGTGGTGTGAAGGAAGCCTTCCTCTTCAGCTGTGGCTGCAACTGCAGAGCTGGGAACGAGAGGCAGAGTCACAGCTTGCACAGAGCTGGAAAGCGTGGCTTGGCAGAAGGCTGACTTGCTGCCCAGTGATGCCTCCTTGTCTGAGGTTGCCTTCACCTCATGCTTTCTCTGTGGCCTTCAGGTCCTGGCTTTATGACTTGTGCAGAGGAATTGAAGAGGAGCCTGTGAAAAACCGGTACTTGCCCCAGTCCATTGGCTGCAGCAAGAACTTCCCTGGGAGGACAGCCTTGGCCACGCAAAAGGAGGTGAGAGAAGCCTACGTTTAGCACAAGGCTTGGCCTTTGCACTGGAGAAGATGAGAATGCTAAAAGCTGAGACTAGTTTGCAAAACTCCCGCTTTTCTGTGTCACAGTGCTCTGAAACTCAGCCTAGGGGCTCGGTGGGAGGAGGTGGTTTGAGCCGCAGAAATTAGGGAAATCCTCATTTGACAGAAATGCATTGATGAACTCCTGCACAAAGAGGTCCAACCCTGTTGTAAATTCTGCAAGCAAAACTGTGGGCTCATGCTCTTCAAGAGGTATTCGTGGTGCCAAGCTTCAAGGGCTTGGTTGCTAGAAAGAAGGTAATTAGCTCAAAGAAAGAGGGGGGATGCACCTTACCTGTGTTAGCTGGGGAGAGGTTCCCACAGAGCTGTAGGAGATGCAGAGAGGTCCAGGGTGGGGGACCCAGATTACTTGGCAAGGTCTAGCAGTAATGCTATCCACAATGCCTTGCCTCCAGCGTTGAATCCTTACCTGGGCCAATTTCTCCAGGATTACTTCAGATATGGGGCCTCGTGATATTCTGTGTCCATCCCAGTCTGATCTCCTGGTGTGTGGAGCGTTGCTCTGGCCTGGCAGCAGTGCTGTGAGCAGAAGCCCAACCTGTTACCACTGTTTTGTCCAGGTGCAGCACTGGCTCCTGCAGCTGGCCTTGGAGCTGGAATCCAGGCTGATCAAGGACAGGAGCCAGGTAAGGAGGGGGAGGCACAGGGACAGCGTTCTCCCTGCTGGCTTTCAGGAAGCCACATAGCGCGTTTGCACTGTGAGCTGTCTGCAGGAAGCTCAGAGTGGTGTGTGGTGGGGGAGGAAATCTGCTTGTCCTCAGCTGTGTGCCTGTGAGCTGGGGTGCCCCAAGCAAAAAGGTGTGCAGGAGCCTGGCCAGGAGGGGTGGTTTTGCCCCAGAACACTGCAGGGCTATGGCCGGACCTTGTCCTGTGCTGTAGGGTGCGGGGACCTGAAAGCCACCGCACCTTCATCCTGCGGCACTGCTGCTGCCTCGCAAACCCTTTGCTGATGCAGCTCTGCCTGTGCTGTGGGCTGTGAGAGGAAGCGATATGCTCAGATCCGGGTGGAGGACTGCAGGCCAGGGTGAGATTAACGTGCTAGCTTCATCGCTGCAGAGGGGGCAAGAAAAGATGTGCAGCTGGCTTCGAAGGAAAGCAAGGACTAACTGCTTCCCATCCTGTGTGGCACAGCTGTACAAGCACTTGGTGTCCTGTACCTCATCCCTTGGACTTCAACCAGGCAGGACAAGCTGCGCTCTGTCACACAGCATCATTGGGAGGCGATAGCTGATCGTACAGGGTTCTGGGCAGCGAGATGGTCTCCTGGGGCTTTCCTGCAAGTGTTGCTTGAAACACAGCTACCTCTTCTCTCTGCAGAACCACAGAGTGGCCAAGCAGCTGATGGTGGTCATCCGCATGCAGGGAGACACCCGGGTGTCGCGCTTTTGTGCTCTGTCCCGCTACGATGCCCAGAAGATGTGCAACGATGCCTTTGCCCTCATCCAAAACTGCAACGCGGCTGGGGCTCACCAGGCGGCCTGGTGAGTGTGGGAGGAAGTGGTTCACGTCCCCGTCAGGGGTTTTTCTGCTGCGGGTGGTGCAGGATGAGCCAGGGACCTGACAGAAAGGAACGAGAGTGTTATGCTGACTGGCAGGGAAAGTGATCCCCAGCACACACACAGCGGAGGGCAGTGACCTCCGCTTGTCAGCGGTAGGACAGCTGTGAGAGCCTGGCGTCTTCCTAGCCCCACATCTGGCGAAACACTTCTGACTTCTGTACTTGGAGCTGATGATTGCTACTGGCAGGGGGGTATCCAGCTGGAGCAAGGCAGTCCTTGCCCTGCGGGGCTGGAGAAGCTAGCGAGGGCCTTGCTCTCCTCCCCGAAGGACAAAGGTGCTTTTTGGGAGGAGGCCGTTGGGGCAGGAAGGAAAACTGAGGTGCATAGCTCCCATATTCAACATTCCTTCCTTCCTTCCTTCCTCCTGCTCTGCAGTGAAGGCAAGAAGGGCCCGTCTGCTGGGCTCCAAGAAGGCTGATGCTCCCTTAAGGCCCTCTCACCTTGCCTGGGAGTCTCACAGCAGCTCCAGACTGCTCCAGGGCCCTTTCCTTTGGGAAATACTGTTCTGGGAAGAGGCCTGCTATGTCTCTGAAACTCTGTTCTGGAGGTAGCAATGCTGACATTTTGTCAGAGCAAACGTCTCTCCCACCCCTTGCCAGGTACCCAAACTGCAGTTCCTCTGTCCCCTGCGTGTGAACATTTTATGTTGCTTCAAGTCTTACCTCAAAAGACTTCTTGTTTCACAGGCTGGTGTCTGAGCTGATGTCGGTCTGTCCTTTGCAGGTCTCCACCGCTCATATCGGTGCTTCTCTCGGCAAGCAAGTTCTCGGAGCCTGCCACGCACCTCTCTGCAGGCATCGCCACCTTCCTGACAAGCGATACCCAGCCTGATGGTATGGCCACCACCAGCCAAAACACCACGTCTTCTAGGAGGCCCAGGGTCAAGTTCTTCAGGAGCCCAAGCAAAGAGCTTAGGCAGAAGCCAGCTAATGCTATTGAGTCATTCTTCCAAAAGGCAACAGAAAGGCAGCAGTCACAGACGGCAGCAGCAACCAGCCTGCCCACTGCTACCACTGCAGGGTCACCTGTGCCCAGCTCTCCAGAGCACCAAGAGAGAGATGGCGTTGGACTTGCCTGTGGGCGGTGTGACCCGGAGTCCCCTGTGAAGCGGAGTCCCAGAGACGGGAGCCCTACTTCTCCTTACAAGAGGCTTCCCTGTGAGAAGTTGCCATCTGATGCTACACAAACACCCTCGACTCCACCCAGCGTCAGGACCCTTCTGAAATTAGAGCCAGCTATGGAGGGAAACGAGCAAAATTTCCCACCCTCTCCTGAGCTCGCCCCGCTCCCTCCTGCCTCACCGGGGGACCAGCAGTACTGTGAGAAGTGCGGCCAGCTCGTCCTGGTGTGGGAGTTCCCAGAGCACACGGACTACCACTTTGCTCTGGAGCTGCAAAGCTCCTTCCTGGAGCCCAGCGCTCCCACAGCTCCAGCAGAC